TTTTATCGCTTTCAACAAATGTGCCAAATTTCAAAACGCGCCAATATTTAATTCAAGTATATTTTCGGAAATTTTGAATAAAAAACTGTAATTTTTTTGCATGTGTGCTTAGAAATACGTCTACTTTAAAATGATGGCAAAACTTTTATACATTATAATTAAAAATGTTTTTTTGGAAAATTTATAAAAAAAAAAATATTTAGAAATATAATTTTAATAATAAATAATAAAAAAAATGGGTGAATTTTATTTGGAATGAACTGAATTTCGAAATCTGAAAGGAAGAATAAAATAATTTTAATAAAAAAAAGGAGAGATTAATAATAAATTTTGAAAGTTAATTTTTTAAAAACTACTCGTGCGATTTTTACAAAACTTGGTAGTTTGGCGTAATTTGAGTCGTAGAATTGAAATATAAAAGAAAATATGGTATGTTATTTCAGAAAAAGTCGACTTTTGTGTCCAAATACCTATATTAGAACGATGCTACATGTAATTCTAATACATATCCTAAGTCGCACTTTCGGGGCATGAAAAACGCAAGTTAAATTTCATTAACCGGCTTAGTACAACGGAAAGTATAGGAACTGTAATTTTTTTTCGCAGTTTACATAAATGTCTGACAATCTGTTTTAAATTTTTATGTATACACTATCATTTGTATCATATGTTTTGCCATTTTATATCATCTTTCTAAGTATTAATTTAGTCTATGTGTCTTCGCCGTTGTCTTCGTGACTAAGGGGAAACTTTGTAGTGAACGTATTTTAGTTCAGGAGTGGCGCTGCAAACTCTCTTCCACTTTCTTCTTCCCACACTACTCTCTCAGTGGACAACCCGCCGACGCACCAGCACGCGCTTCTCTGCTAATATTATTTGCGCATTAATAAAATATTGTTTTATAGAAACGCAAGCGTTCATCTGATACATGCATCTAAGATCACAACAGTACATTCTGGGTTTTAACTAACTCTGCTATCTTCAAGCATGCCATCTTTGATCGCTCTCAAATTCGTCTTATGTATGCGTAGACCATATATTATTAAAACAAAAGTAATGACTCATGTAATTCAATTTCTAAAATAAGATTCTAAAGTGTGGTAAATGGTTGATGCTATAAATTGTAATGAGCAACTATTAAACGTCGTCGTCTACAGATTAAAATTAACCAAATGGTCAGGAACAAGCCATAAGTATCAATATTTAAACGACAAATCAGAAACTGCAATGATGCAAATCTATACGTGTTCGCATATAGAAAACGTACTTCTAAATTACCGTAATGGAGATTAAAATATCGCATTAAAGATTCCAGTCACCAGAAATGCACAAAAAGGAAAAATTGCGAATTCGTTTTTTGTACGAAATGGCATACTAGTATTTTGGAGCCAAAAAAAGCTTTCAGAAGGTTTTTTTTTTGCCTAATATTTGGCATAAATTAAATTACAGGAAGCATTCATATTGCATAATGCAGGTAAATTCAGATTTGAAATGTAAATTATTATCTACAGTTTTTACTCAATGCTGTTTTTGCTATTATTTTTAGCGATGAATCTTTAAAAGATGCTTTGCAGTGGAACGAAAGAAACTACAGGAGAAAAGAAGACAGTAAACTTCCTCATCATTCTGTTTAGAGACCAAAAAACGAACAAGCAGAGTGTTAATAAACACAGCCGACGTAACAATTTGATCATAATATATACAATAATTCGTTTAATATGAGAATTTAACAAATAAGGCCCACAGGCGGCTAAGTAGTAAAAGCTGCTGAACACTGGTACTTCAGTCCAGGGTTTGAGTTCTGGCAGACAGGCTAAATGCATGGTTTTCCCCCATGTGCAAGAGGGTGTAACGTATTTACTTTGCTACGCTACCAACATAATTCAACTAAGAAATGTGAATTACCGCAGACAATTTTATCCGCAAAGAATATCCGCAGACGATGCGCGCGCTTAAAAAATGATATTCAGTTATTCTGTAAGTTTTGACTATAAAGTTGGTTGTTCGTTCAGAAATGGCGAGAGTTCTTTAAAACTTCATTACAGACGGTTACAAGAACAAATATTTGGTGGTACTCTGTGGGATTGAAAGGTGAAACCAGTGTTTATTTAAAAACAAAAGAAACTACAGTAATTAAGACACAATAACACGCAGAGCAAATACTAATTCAGAAGTCAAAGAACAAAAATTTGAAAACGCTGATTTTTGTTGTTTGACTTCTGAAACTACAGTACTTGTGAGTATACGTTTTAATGAATATTGTGGCATTTTGTATGAAAATGCTGCATCTTATTATTGAATTCAACTAATAGAACGATATTCTAAGTTTAAGCTTTTGGATTAATATGTCAAAATATTTAATGTTCTTTTAAAATTTGAGCTCTTGTATTAGAGTGATAAATTTATTACGTTAATATTAGAATATTTATATTATAAAATTTGAGCTTTTGTATTAGAGTCGCAAATTTATTACGTTACTATTAGAATATTGCTATTATAAAATTTGAGCTTTTGTGTTAAAGTAGCAAATTTACTACGTTAATATTAGAATATTTCTATTTTGAAATTTGAGCTCTTGTATTAGAGTCGCAAATCAAGAATTTTCAAGTTAGAGGCTTAAATTCATTTTTTATTTACTTTAGTATAATTTATTAAGAGCAAGCCTCGCAAATTTTTGTTTATCGGAGAGTACATAACTTTTAATGCATTAAGTGTTTAGAGAAACATATACGTTGAATCATACTTGAATTTCTAATAAAAAAAGGCTAAATTGAGCACGCTGATTTGAATTTTTGAATATTAACTAAAAGCCTTTTAAAATTAATTTTGAAACTCTGTCGAAGAGTTTTTCTTTTTCTAAACATGCCATTTCTTGCCAAGGGTATAAAACAAGATTTAACGGAAGTAGTCGAAGAATTCGGTGAGGAAGTGCCGCTAACTAGGAAGGTCCCAGAAATTAAAAACATAATCACTGAAAGTTAGTTTTACGATGAAGAGGAAGTTAAATTAATTTTAGACCGAATAATTGCAGAACGCCTGGCTCATGAAGCGAGAGAAGAACGTCTGGCCCTAGAAGAAAGTTCATATGAATTGGAAATAAAGCTGCTTGAAATTGAAAATCAAGTAATACGAGCTAGAGAATCAACGGCGAATATACTATAATCGAACAGAAAAATCCAGTTGTCAAAAAGTACTCCAAATTTGGACGAAAAAAGGGATGAAATGGGACTATATTTGATAAATTTTGAGAGAAAAGCTGAAATGCCTCAGGTTCCTAAGAAAGATTGGCGGGATTATGTTTTCAGTGTTTTATCTACTGAAGTCTCCAATATGTTAGCCAGAGAACCACCTGAAGATGCGATTAAGTATGAATGTGTGAAAAATCTAATTTTAGGAAGATATAAACTTAACAGTGAAAAACTGAAACAGTGCTTTTATCGGCATCAAATACTCCTGAAAAATCTTAGAGAAATTATGCTCATGAACTTTATAATTATTTTTTGGAATGGATTGCGGATTTAGAAATTAAGACATTTGAGAATCTGAAAGATTTATTAGTTACCAAGCAAAATAAACGTAGGGTTCGCATGGAAGTAAAGGATCATTTTCTTGATCAATGGATGAAATTAAAAACTCCATATGAACAAGCAGAAAAATTAGACGAGCATGAGAGTATTAAACAGAGCTTTAAGAGGGAAAATCCTAGAAAACAAGGTTTGAAACTTCAAGAAAGTCATCAAAACGTGAACAAAAGTCAAAGAGGTTATCATAATAGACATAACCCTAAAGAAATCTAGAAAAATTTTAAACCTAAACCTATAATTAGGACAGAATGTACTAATGAAATTCATGAAAAGGAATTTGAGAAACGGAGACAACCTCGTTGTTATAAATCAGATTTTACTCGCATCTTCGACATAAGTGCCATAAACTCAAGAATTTAGAATTTCCTTTTCAAATTTAGAAACTATAGCATCCAATGAAACTGTACACTCAAATGAATTTTCCAAAAAATAGTTTTAAGGATGTTATGGCTCTATTATTATTTTATATTCTTTATCTTACTTCTAACTAATTAATCAAGGTAAAACAAAACTGCTTACCTTGTTCCAATGGGTTCGGCCAGGGCCAATGGGCTGAAGTTCCTCTGTGGTGTGCATCTGCAAAATCTTGAGAGGGATAATCCATAAATGATAAACTTTCTTAACACAAACATATTTAATGAAGACGCAAACGGTTACAGAATATTTACATAATGAAAGGTTTAAATGTTCGCACGACGCAGCGTGCTACTTTTCAGTTCCGAGTTCTCGTGATCTCTAGCGAGAATTCATAGTTCGAGATGACGTCACTCAGCCATCGGATCTCAGCAAGAGTTGAGTTGCAACATCCTCCCGCCCGGAAGGACAATTGCCGTAATTGTCCTTATTACATTCCAGCTCCACCAGATATAGTAATTGCACTGGTCTTTTAATCGTATGTCCATTGAGCAAGCGGACAGCACAGGCTCTCACCTTGCCATCTCTCCCAGGAACGACTTTCATTATGATGCCCATCTTCCACATCAGCCGTGGAATTTTATCTTCATGCACTAATACAATAGTTCCTTTATTCAAATAGGTTCCTGTTTTCGCCAGTTTGGAATGATGAGCAGATTTTAATTCATCAAATAATCCTGCCTCCATTTTCGCCAGATTCTTTCTACCAGTATCTTGTTGATGTCTAAATCGACGTGTAAGACCCTCCTTTGTTGAAGTTAATTTAGAGCTTTCCTTGTGGCAATGATAGTAATCGTCTTTCCTATTAAGAAGTGACCAGGAGGTCAAAGATTCTGGCTCTCCTAGATCCGAGTATGTAAATGTTAAAGGTCTGGAGTTCAATATAGCTTCCACTTCTGTTATGACTGTCTCCAATTCCCTGAATGTCAAGGTTGATTTGCCTAAGATTCTCTTCAAAACAGCTTTAAGAGATTGAATCATACGCTCCCAAAAGCCTCCCCATCATGCCGCCCTCTCAACTATAAATTTCCATTTGACTCCCTGTTTAGAGAACTCGTCTTGAACTTTATTGCTTTTCATCACCTCGTTCAATATCTCTAATTCTTTTTTCGCTTTTTTAAAGGTTTTGGCGTTATCGGTGTACACTATTCGGCAGAAACCTCTTCTCGCTATGAACCGTCTAAATGCAAGCAAAAATTTTTCTGTGGAAAGGTCAGCCGTAAGTTCTAAATGCACGGCTCTAGTTACCGCATAGGTAAACAGTAAAACGTATGTCTTAGATAATTCTTTTCCACTTTTCACGTACAGTGGACCCGCGTAATCTATCCTGGAGTTTTCAAACGGAAAGGCTTCTCGGCATCTGTCTGGTGGGAGAGGTGCCATATCTTGCATGACAGGTTTAGTTCGAAATATCTTGCAGACATTGCAATTGTACAGAACACTTTTAATTTTTCGACGAGCCTTCAGCAACCAAAATTTATCTCTTATCTGATTTAAAGTATCTGCTATTCCTCCGTGCCCTACCACCTGATGACTGTGAAGAATAATTAGATCAGTCAAATGATCTTTGTCGGGTAACACGATTGGATGTGCTTGTTTGTAATCCAAATTTGAATTTTCTATTTGTCCACCAACACGAATTACACCACTTTCGTCTACAAATGGACTGAGGGATTTCAGTTTTGATTTTGAACCTAATTCTTCGTTGTTCTTCAATGCCCGTATTTCATTTGTGAAATTTCGCTCCTGAACACGTTCGATCCAATAAGTTTCTGCCATTTCCAATTCGGTAACCTGCAAACATTTGATAATTTCGAGGTATTTTTAACATTGTTGATGAATCTTAAGCACCATGCAGTAATTCGGTAAATTCGGTGTAAATTACTGTAATTTTGGGTTTTAAATAAATCTTCGGAAGGTTCGATAACACACGAATTTATGAAAACTTCCTTTGATGTTTTTCTTAGTTCCTTGTTGGAATCTTCAATGTTCTTTGTGGAACAGAAATTTGGTTTTGGCCAGTGTTCCATTTCTTCTTTTAACCACGTGGGCCCTTCCCACCATATGCTATTCTGCTTCAGATGTTTGACATTTTCACCTCTAGTTAGCAAATCAGCTGGATTATGTTCACCAGGCGTATATCTCCAGTTCAAGACATCTGAATTCTTCTGTATTTCCTTCACTCTGTTCTGAACGAATGGCTTCCACCTTTTCACATCACTTCTAATCCAATGTAACGTTATACTAGAATCGGTCCACATATATACAATTAAATCAATGTCCAGAAGTTTCTTTTGAATGTAATTTGACAAGCGGGAGCCTATCAAGCACCCATCCATTCCAATCTGGGAAGTGATAATTTTTTCAAAGATGCTACTCGTGATTTTGATGTAATGAAACTTGTATGAATGACTCCATTTTTCGAATAACGAAAATACAGAACATCCCCACAGGCCTTCTGACTCGCATCTGTGAAACAGTGTAACTGTAAACCATCCTTTATATCCCTTTTCCCAGCACCTGCAAACTGATGTCTTGGTATTTCCAAACTACATCTTTTACGAGTGCGCTGCCATCGTAGTTCCTAGAAAAATTCGGAATTAAAGCTGTACGAAGTTCTGTTTACCACCCATAAAGCAATCCTGTAGAGAGGATGCATAGAACTTTAAAAGGAAATCTTGGAGTCCTATGTCTAGAATCTGGTCTGAATTGGGATAAAATCGTACCTCAGGCTTTATTTGCTCTTCGAACGACTATTCATGACAGTACCGGTTTCTCGCCCGCAGAATTAGTTCATGGCAGAAACTTAAGATCTCCAACTATGCTATTGTACCAAACGTTATCTGGTAAAGAAGAGGAAGAAAATACAGTAGTGGACTATATTTTTGAACGAATGAATCGAATAAGGGAATGTCAAGAAATCGCTGTCCAGCATATGGAAAGCCAAAGAAAGGCAAAAATTCCGGTATGATCGCAAAGCCGTAGAACGTAAATTTCAAGGAGACTTGTTCTAGTTATAGCTCCATCGAAGCCAAACAAATTATCAGTTAAATGGGTAGGTCCTGGAAAAGTAGTTCAACAATTATCAGAGACAAATTATGTAGTCGAGGTTCCCGAGAAAAATAAGACTCAGGTGTACCACATTAATATGCTGAAACCCTATTTTCAATGAGCTGCAAATATAAACTTGCTATATTTAGAAGACAGGATAAACGGCTATAAAGGTGAAATACCGAGTCTAAATTATAGCGAAGATACTGAAATCTCTGAAGTTTTGCAAGACATCCAGTTGAATTCATTATTATCTAAAGACAAAAGATTTAAAGCAGTTGATATACAAGTATTTCTGAATTATCTCTAGTGAACCAGGATGTACTGACCTTACCGAACATGATATAGAAGCAGAAAGACCGATATGCGCAAAACCTTAACGGATGTCTGCCAGACAAAACGAGATTTTAAAAACTGAAGTAGAAAAGATGATAAAACTCAAAGTAATAAAACCAGGTGAATCAGATTTTACCTCTCCATTCATACTGGTTGAAGGTCCTGGAAAAGAGGCAAGACCATGAATTTATTACCGTCGCGTTAACAAGGCAACTAGAAAACAATATTTTCCCTTGCCAAACATTGAACATTTAGTGGAAAAAAGTGTCATCTGCCAGATAAACTCTTCTAGATCTCACTCGAGGTTACTGGCAGATCCTACTAACTAAACGAGCCCAGCGTTACGCTGCTTTTGGGACAATTTTTGGAACATTTAAACGCTTAACGTTACTTTTAGGGTTAATAAATGTACAGTATGATATTAGCCGCTTAATGGCGGGATTATTAAGAAACTGTGAAGAATTTGCTGTACCCTAAATTGACGATGTTGCAGTATTCTCGCAAACCTGGGAAGAACATTTGAAGCACTTCGAAATTAGATGAAAATTGCTAAACTGCATATTAAGCAATCGAACTGTCAGTTTGATCATACGACCTTTAAATACCTAGGTCATGTAGTAAGTGAAAGAAGACTAGCAGAAATAAAAATCCAAGCCGTAAAGGACTTCCCTAAACCTACGACGAAAACACAAGTCTGGTCATTTTTAGGACTTCCAGTGTGTTATCAAAGGTATATTTCTAAATTGTCTGTGATTTTTGCAACACTGACAGATTTGTTAAAAGGAAAATATTGCAAATCAACAATAAATTGAACTGATGACTGCGAAAACGCTTTTGATGAACTCAAGAAACGGTTAACACAAAATCCAGTTTTATACAGTCCGAACTTATCTCAACCATTTATCGTTCAGTGCGACCCTTCGAATATTGGTATTGGCGTTGTATTATCACAGAAAGGCGAAGAACATCGAATAATATTTCTTAGCAAAAAGTGTTCACCTGCTGAGCAGAAGTACAGAACAATCGAAAGGAGGTGTGCTACCATTGTCTTTGCAGTACAAAAGTTAAAATTCTACCTAGATGAACCTTATAAGTTCCTTATTCAGAATGATCATCATCCTCTAGTATGGTTGGATAAAAACACTGAAACTAATCCTAGACTATTACGATGGGCTTTGATCTTACAACATTTTAACTATCAAGTAGCGCATTGAAAGGGGAAGCCCCATCAAAATGCTGACAGTTTAAGTCGTTGTATCCAAACATCTCACAACTAAAAATATACATTTTAGGAAGTTTAAAACTTCATTGTTTAAATTTTTGTAATATACATTTATTTAAATTTTGTATTTATTACATTTTATATGTTTATTTAAACTGAACATCTTTCGCTTGTAAAAAAAATAATGTATTTAAACTGATCATTTTCTTGAAGGTTCCATCAATTTGAAAGAAAAAAAACTTTTTTTCGAAAAGTTCCCCGTGAGGGAAGGAATTTAAGACTGTAACGTATTTGCGTTGCTACGCTACCAACATTAATTCCACTAAGAAATGTAAATTACCGCAGAGGATTATCCGCAAAGAATATCCGCAGACGATGCGCGCGCTTATAAAAAGTTTTTCAGTTATTCTGCAAGTTTTGACTAATAAAGTTGGTTGTTCATTTAAAAATGGTGAGAGTTCTTTAAAAATTCATTACAATAGAAACGAGTCAGTTTCCCTTAAAAAGGATTTCCAAGGGGCATCCACCCCTTTTCGTGTGACGACTAATGGTAAAGGACAAAAAAAAAATTAAAAAAGAACTAACAAGTACGGTCTGGATATGTATATTCACGGTCAAGTACGGTCTGGATATGCATATCATATATATGATATGTATATTATGGGCACATATTTAATGGTCATTAAGAATAAAGTGTATATACAAGATTGCATTTTGCAATTTGTATATACAAATTGCAGAATGCAATTTTTTTAGCACTGAATTTCAAAAAGATACTTTTTAACTAGAATGTAAATAAAAAAAAAATATATATATCGGATAGATATTTCTGCTAATACTAATTATTGCATATTTAATAACTAGAAGGGTAATAATTTGTCAAATAAAGCAGAATTTTTCAGAAATTAATGCTTTTTGGCAGATAAATAAAGGGTGCTTACGTGTTATTCCGTCGACCGACTAAGTAGTGCGATTTAGTGCCAGGTTATGAATGACCACTTTCTTTATATTCTACAGGTACCGATTACCGAATGTTGGCGAAATTTTGAGCAACCGCTGAAAAGATAACATATAATAAGAAAAAAAAAATATTTTTTTCTGAGGAAACCTTAATTCTAAAATAACGTAATCCTCGCTTCTTACACACACACACACACACATATGTATATAATAGTTCTTACTTACATTTGATTCTTTGTTAATATTTTTATATACATATATTAATATAATTTATTTCCTAAACAGTATTGATTAATTGATTATATTATCTCCTAAGTTTAATTAAAGTAGAATTATTTTAAAAGTGTGCATCCATACTGGTAAGTTATATTTTGAAAGATGTTTTGAAGTAATTTGAAAGCAAAATGTTAATAATGTTTTAACGGGGACTGGAGTTAAATCATCACGAAGAATAATATTTCAATTGTAAAAAGAAAAATTAAAACATGTAATCATTGTCATTGATCGGAAATTAGTTGACTTTTCAAGGGGAACAAACCAACTCCCGTTCAATGAACAATAATTGATAAAAATACGTAAATAAGGAAGTGTTTCGTCTTTACTCGAGTTATAAGTTAAAGCCAAACCGGCAATTCTAGTCAGGCCAAATATTTCCGCGAATAGTAGGAATTATGAACCAATGCTGATACTCAAAGAACTTATTCTTATGAAGCATTTTAGTCAATTCAATTTGGAGTAAAAATCAATTACTGCAGAGAAATCCTATAAAACTCGAGTAACCGTCCCCGACACTTTCATGTTTATGCATTTGAGTACTATAATATTTGTAGAAATAAAACATTGGAAATTGTCATTATGAAATCGAATTCAAAGTAAAGTTGAAATAAACAAAGAAGATTATAAAAAAAGGATAAATAATGCAAACTTTGTAAAAACAAATCAAAGAAATATAAAAATAATATAAAAATAATATAAATAAGATCAGTGAATGTACATGAAGATATAAAGGCCAGAAAAGGTATTAAGGAACTTACATTCTTTCTAGTGGGGGAGTTGGCAAAGTGTTCTCTTCGTGTCTGACTCAGAAGTGTAGGGTGTCCGAAAATTCTTAGCGGCAGTAGGGGCTTTGAATAATATCAGTCGGTAAGACTTGGGTGAAGTAATTTATGGTAGTGGGTGGGACTTGGAATTCTTGAGGGATGTATTTTGT